TTGTGTCTGTCAGCTAGTGTCTGTAGGCAATACATGTTTTTTAGAGAGCCTTTTGAATTACAAGGAAGGTGTGGGTGGCCAGATACCTTCTTTGAATAGCATATTACACTTGATAAACTAGCGCCTGGTCTTGATGAAACAGGCCTCTGGTTAAGTGGCAGCAAAGAATGGTGTCTTAACCCCAGCTTGAGAACAGGCAGCCTTCAAGAATCTCCTCTTGTGGTATTCACTGGAAACTGCCACTTCTCTCCTCACAGACCTCCCCAGGGAGCTCTGCCACCCAGAGAGGATGCTAGTCACACCAGCTGCAATGCTACATGGACCGAATCCTTTTTATCTTTTATGCAGAACCAAGTATCTCACAAGCTGACTGTTGCTTTTAGTATGAACTAGTTGCATACACAAGTCAGCCTTAAGAAATAATTGCATGCCCCACACAAGCTACAACTGTCCAGCACTGAGGCTGCAGTTAGGATCGGATCACTTTGTAAAGTGGGAACTTCATACAGCCATGAAAAAGTATGCTTGTAAGGTCGGGACAGAGGTGGCTCAGTAGGTGAAGTGCTTGCCATGCAAGCTTGAGGACATGAGTTTGAATTCCCAGCACTCACCTAAAAGGACACAATAGCAGGCATCTATAGTTCCCAAGTTCTACGGTGAGACAGGAGGTAGGAGACTTCCTGGAAGCTCACAGGCAGCCCAGTGATGAATGAGAGGCTTTGCCTCAAACATGGTGGAAGGCAAGGATCGACACCAGAGGCTGTCCTCTGACACACACACACACACACACACACACACACACACACACACACACACACACACTGTGGCAAACACCACATACATCTATGAGCATATTTCGGTGGATGATGTAGGAAAATGTCTGTGGCACGATACTAAAGTAGGACGTAGAATTGTGAGCTAAGCCTGGTTTTGATGTAAATTTAAAAAGTATATACTGGTAAAAGTGAAAGGAAAATTATAATCCTGATAATTTTATCAAAGTGGCACTGGGGCATGGGACTAGGAGTTTTATCTTATTCTTTATACTTTTATGTGTTTTCTAGTTTTCCACAGTACACATAAATTACTTCAATTGAGATACAAGTGTTATTTAGCACAAAGCAAAGACAAAAATCTGTCGGTTTGGAAGGTGATACAGACAGAAGTGCTAAATTAGAAATCCAAAGTTTGAGTGGCAGCTGTTGGATATTAATGTTTAGGCTTATGTAACATGCTGTGGGAGGCTGCTAAGCATTTTACAGCACCTGAACTCATTTTCATACCTTTCCCTGTGTGGTAGGCAGCAGAATTGAAATGATTTTATGTATTAAAAGTGGGGGAGGGGGCCCAGAGTGCAGACTGCATTTGCCTCAGGGATGCTTTCTGGCTGTGAAGTAGGACCCAAGTGAGGATGTCGGGGCAGCATCCACACTCATCAGAGCACAGACCCTGAAGATTTGGGAAACTGTGATGCCAATGTCCCACAGAGAGGAGACGGAGATGAGCCATGCTTTAGCCTACTTTTTGAGGTGTCTCCCCAGCCTTGTTGCTAGGATGGAGGGCATTTTGGAGGAAACTTTGGCTTCAAGAAAGGGAGTAGAGACCCTAAATCATTATACATCAGATCCCAGTAGGTGGGAAGACTGATGGCAGCCAGAGGAGGTGGGCCCAGCTCTGTGTGCATGTTGTTGGACCTGATTGTCTGTGCTTCCAGATCTTTTTTTTTTTTTTTACTCTTTGTAACAGACTATTCCATTCCTCTCCTATGAAGTTCCCAGACCCAGTTCCTTGGGGTCTCTGTCATACCAGGCTATCTTGTGTCTTTCTGGTTTTGTTTTCAGTGCTTATGGCTCTTCCGGTGATGTAATATGCAACATCAATTCATCTCAGGTTTCTGGTGTGTGTGTGTGTGTGTGTGTGTGTGTGTGTGTATGCACGCATGCGCACGTGCGTGTGTATCCCAAGGAGGCCACAGTCCAGCCAGAGGCAGGAGGTAAATACACACATGCCACAAATTACCATCGCTGACATTATAAAAGGCGGAGGCTTTATATGCCATGGAGAGAACCCAGATATGTATCATCTCAGTTTTTCAATCAGTTCCCAACAGAAGTTGAAACTTTTTAATATAGCACCCGAGGGGTAGCCAGGATTCAAGAAAAATATTCATGGATAATGTCACAGGCATCACTAAGCAGATAGTTAGGACATTCTCTTTATAGCTTCATGAACCTCATGTCTTTAGGTATAAGCAGAAAGTATTATGAATGATATTATAACAGATATGGCAGTCAGGGCAGTGTATGCTTTGCTGGAGTAACAAGTACACAGGGCACTCATCATAGCTTCGTACAGCAATAATAATGTGGCTCATATAGAGCGCTTTGTGCACAGGCTGGAGAGAGGGTTGGGGTTAAGACTGAGGTTAACTGAACCAGCTGAGGTTACTTGCCGGCATCTCACAGCTCATCCATAATGGGCCAGGAAAGAAGCCAAATAGCTTTGCCTGAGTTCTCAACCGCTGTACCTATTGTCTCCATAGTGATTTGCTCCTGGAGGAATTTCTGTAAAATTATAGGCAACGTAAGTGACACACCCGACAGGCAGTGTCTGACACGCACCACTTACTCATGAGGAGCAGCTATTTCTATTCTCCCTGTTGTTGGCTACCTCAAGCCCTTTCTGAGTCAAGGCAGAGTATAAATAGTTGATGATGTGATGAAGATTTATTAAAAGGGAACTCTTTTGTCCTGGCATCTGGGGTTGCATGGAATGCTTCAATAGAACCTTGCTGAGAAGTATCAAGCAATTACCCTCCCACCAAAGTATTGCAGCAAGTCATGCCCATTCTTACCCTGGAATGGCATGAAAGCAAAGTCTACATGTTAATTACCAGCCTGCCGTGTCTCATTACCGGTATCTGTAAGGCTGCTGCGAGCAAAGGCTAAGGCCCCAACAGTGTTTATTTTGTGTTTGTTTTAATTAAACACTAGCACTGGTCTTGACTGGTTCTGTGGGGTGGTTGGGAAAGAACTACCATGCTGTAAACTGGTTTGGGAACTTTGTGTAGCTAAAGCCATTTGGGGCCTTGCAGTGAGCTCACCTGTCCCTCTGCCATCATGAGGTGAGGGATGGATCTCCTGCTTCTTAGAGGGCTCAGTGGCTGAGGAGTGGGCCAGTTGATCCGAGAACAGGAGTTGCCTTGGAATCTCTCCAGCACGGATCAATGAAGGGTGTCATTGAGTTCAGAGGAGGATTGGGATATGTGATGGTGTGCACAGACCTGTGTAATTATGGTGGGCAGCCATTTCTTCTTGCTGTGTAGGAGGAAATGGAAGACAACGTCTTTATTTTTTTTTAAAGATTTCTTATGTGTGTGTGTGTGTGCGCGCGTGCGTGTCTGTATGTGTGTGTGTGCAGATGCATGCAGAGACGTCCATCTTGTTTTCTGAGAAGAGTCTGTCACTGGCCTGTAACTCGCTGAGTAGGCTACTCTGGCTGTCTAACAAGCCTCAGGCGTCTCAACTCCACCTCTCGAGCACTGGGATTAGAAACACATGCTACTTTGCTGGCATTTTAATTTGGGTTCTCGAGATAAAACTCAAGTTCTCAAACTTGTTTGGCAAGCATCTCTATCAACTGAGCTGTCTCCCTTGACCCTCAATTTTATGTAATTTTTCAAAGAGAAGGTAGGTAGTATGCACCAATAAACGTTCCAAAATCAGCACGTTTTAACATGCAGTTGGGAAGCCCTTTGTATAACCAGAACAATTTGTTTTAAAATACTTACAGTGGTGTTGAGGGGATGGATATTGTATAATAAATATAACTAAAGCTATATTAGGTTTTTGTGTATAGATGGGAAAATACTCAAGTGTGAAAAACAAGTAGAAGATAACTTGGGTTGTGGCATTTGTGTGATAAAGGCTGAACTTGTTTTCTAGAATTTAGAGTTGTTTTATTCTGATGTTTGAAAAATATCAATAGCAAATTCTTAGTGACTGAGATATGGTGGCTTCTGAACAGTTTTCTGTATTTCACCAAAAATATTTTCTCCTACAGAATCCCTTTCCAAAGGCCACAAGTTCTGTGAAATGTGTGGATGGTTGAACTATTTTAAAAATTCCTTTCTGAACCTCACAGTTGATGCTTTTCCAACTGATTTTTAAAGTTGGAGTGTTTTTTTGGCTATTGCAACAGTTTTAATTGTCAACCTGACACAATCTAGAGTCACATGGCAAGAGAGTCTGTATGAAGGATCCTGTAGGTTAGGTTGGTCTATGAAGGGTTGTTTACCTTGATTGTGTTCATTGAGACAAGAAGTGCCGTCCACTGTGGGAGCCACCATTCCCTAGGCAGAGGATCCTGAACTGTATACAAATGGAGGAAGCATAATGAACACGTGTGCATTAATCCGTTGTCCTCTGCCCTTGACTGTGAATGTGCTGTGACTAGATGTTCCAAGTTTTTGTCACCCTAACTTCCCCACAGTGATGGACCATAACATGTAACTGAACCAAATAAACCCTTTTACCTTTAAGTTGCTTTTATTAGGTAATAGCCACAGGAAAAATAAACCTGACAGCTATTGTGGAGTGATTATTCTTTACTGTTTAAATTGGGGTATTAAAATGAAAAAACTCAGAAAAGTTAACTTATAATGTTACTACTATAAAATAACTACTTTGTATATTTCCATCTCAATGCTTGCCTTAGATAAATATTTTTACATAATTATGATGGTAAAGTGTAGGGAGAGATTTTAGGTGACTGTGCCTCAAAAATCTCTCCCTACAATAAATTGCTTGTGATCTTTCAGAATACTTTTTGTGGTGATGGTGGTGGTTAAAGAACTGCTAAAATTGTATCAGAGACCCTCCAGAATTTGGTTCATTAAGCTCAGGTGGCTGGGTGGTGTTGGCAGCACACACTTTTAATTCCAGCACCTGGGAGGCAAAAGCAGATGGAGTTCGAGGCCAGTCGGGTCTACAGAGTGAGTTCCACAAAAGGCTCCAAAGCTACCGAGAAACCCTGTCTCGAAAAACAAAAGCAAACAAACAAAAGAGCTAAGGTGGTACCGAGTTTTGACATTCCCTGATATGACCTGCTTCACTCTCAGAAACAGTGAATTCCTACAGGTTCTGGCTGGTCCAACTGCACTGGGAGGCAACCACACCCATGATTCAGTGAGTCTCTGCTAATTGCTTCTTCTGCACTCCTCTGGGCACCTCTGTTTAACACTTCCAACTGTCTGTCCCTCACAGCTTCTTGTCTGCTGTCTGTGAGGTGGGGGCCGGGGACAGGGAGGGGTAGTGTCTCTTCTCCTTCCTATCCTGGCCCTTCGCTGAGAAGCACAGTTGAGCTCTGGGGCTTGGTGGTAAAACTCAGTGGTAAAATGCTTGCTTGCCTGGCATGTGTGAGGCCCTGGGTTCCATGCCTAGCATGGTTGGGAGAGATAGAGAGGGCAGGGAGAGAGGGAGGGAGAAAGAAGGATTCGTCTCCTTGAAAACAGGTAGTTAAGATCTCCTTGTTGCTTTTGCAGCAGACTAGAGCTTATTTCCCAGCACCCACAGTGAGCAGCACAGTCGCCTGTAACTCCAGTTCTGGGGGATCCTAAGGCAATTCCAGTCTTGTTAGGATGTGGACTAGAGCAGAGATGAGGAAACGAGATGGTCACAGATGACCTGCACCGCCAGCCCATTGAGGACATGTAGCGGAGACACTTCAGAACCTTTGGTTCTTCCAGGCTGGTCTCTTGTGAAGAGTCAGCCCAGCCTGGACCAGAATCCTCTGTGCTCTTGTTCTGGTGACAAGGTCCACATGCTGGTAAGGTTGCAGCATTTGGCTTCAGGCTTAACTAAGACACACCCTTTGAAAACCAAATTGCTTTGCGAGATTCAAGTTCTTGCCGGTTTCCCATTCTGCTCTGATTCTGCCTGCAGAGCCCAGTTGCCCCACCTTGACCCTGTCCTGGGATATTGCCAGCCTGGTACTGGCCTCCTCTTCAGGAATGCTGCCTGTACTGCTCTGAGCCCTGGCCGGCTGCTGTTAGAGGCACAGTGCCATCTAGTGGATAGGAAAGGAGCCTCCCCATGTTCTGATGTTTGTGGCTGTTTTATTGTCATTGTTTGTTTTTAATTAGCAAGGAATGGGTGTTTAAACAGACTGAATGGTTCATCATCATTAGATTCCCAGGAACACCTAGAGACAGAAATGGGTTTCTTGAATTCTGCAATGGTTCATCATCATTAGATTCCCAGGAACACCTAGAGACAGAAATGGGTTTCTTGAATTCTGCAAAACCAGTCAGTGTCTGCACTGACTTACAAGACCTGGCTTGAGCCTTGGCTCCCTGTTCTTGGGACCGTGCCACAGAAAACAGGTGAAAATATTTCTGTCTCTGGTTGGGTGGCAGTTCTGCCTCCTGCTGGTGGATGTGTGCTGGGACACCGATCCTCTACTGCTGGATGATCGTGGGCTGGAGAGATGACTCAGTGGTTAAGAGTTCCGGCTGTTCTTCCAGAGGACCCGGGTTCAGTTCCACGTGGCAGCTCACAAATGCCTGTAACTCCAGTTCCAGGGGATTTCACATCCTCACACAGACATGCATGTAGATAAAACACAATTACACATAAAATAAAGAAATCATTTTTTAAAAATCTCAACAGAATACCTTGGCTTGACTCTGGTCGATGGATGGGTGCAGGATCTGGGCAAATTCAGTTGTCCGTGTACTTCTGCAAAGCCCACTTGGTCTGAGACTCAGCCATAAGAGGGACATATGAGGAGCTAGAGGGCAACCAAATGCTACATTGGGGCTCCTTGTGCCTCAGGGCTAGAAAAGAGTCCAGGATTCCCCACCCCCTTTCCAGCCTACAAGTTACCGCCGGTCTCCAGTCTCCCATTGAGAATCTCCTGCAGCTGTGGGGTCCTGGCTCCCAAGTGCACAGATGTTGAGGTCCCCAGCAGGGGGAGAGACAGCACCCTTTCTTTCTGTTCCCTGAGTATCTGAGCAGCACTGGGCCTTTTCGGTGGATCTCGAGCTGCAAGGCATGCCCCCTGAGCAGCACATCACCCCAAGGGGAGGTGGGGGAGAGTGATGCCGAGCTTCATTCCTCCAAAGGGAAATTCCAAAGTGTAGATTGAAATACACAGCTCTGCTTTGGGATAGTAGAACCTGCTGTCCAGGCCCTTTGCCTCCTGAAGACAGCAAGATGTCTTCTTGTCTGTATGCTCCTTCAATGGCTGAGATTCCCTGGACTTCTAGACCATCATCCCAGCAAGAAGGAAGGATGAATCCATCTTGTCTGAAGCCGATGGCTCACAGAGTCTGCAGGTCAGAATGTGAGCACAAAGGGTTCTGAGAGTCATTCAACATCTTTAATTTTTCCTTCCTTCCTTCCTTCTTCCTTCCTTCCTTCTTTCTTCTTTTCCTCCCCCCCCATTCATTCCTTTCGCCCTCCCTCCTTCTTTCCTTTCTTCCTTGTTCCAAGCTAATTTGAGTTTGGGGAACTTTTCATGCTCTTTGATATTTTTTTCTATCTCAAAGAATCTGAGTCTGACACCTTGGCTGTCTGGAATGTCCTGAACTGGCCAAGACTAGACAAAACTTTTCAAGCCAAGAGCCCTGTCTGAGTCACTATGTAGCATCTCATGGCCTGCCTTGCCCTAAGTAGAACATTCTCTATGTTCTCCAGATAGCCGACCCTGCTGCCAGGTGACCCCCCCTCCAAGTGAAAGCCTCCCCCAGCTGGGCTCTGTCCCACCTACTTCTACACCTAGCCATGTGCCATCTTCCAACCCAACGAACACGCCCTGGCAAAGCAGTTATAAAGAGTGTATTCACATTGCAGAACACACTTCACCATGGAACACTGTTACAACTGGCATGTGTGTCCAACCAGAAGCCAGATGCTGAATGCATCACAGCCCTCACCAGTGGCGAGTCATAAAAACCAACATGATCCCAAATCCTTGTGGCGGCTCATTGGGAGAACTGCCTGCTAGCCTCTCCTCCTGGTTCCAGCAAGGCCTTGTGTCCTTTTTTCAGTGTTTGAGTTGAGCTCACCCACCACTCCCACCAGAGCCCCTCCTGCCATCCCCTGCCCTTCATCTTGGAGCTCTTAGCCTTCCTTGTAGTAACTTTTCTCCTTTCCACACCAAATCCCTTACAATTCCGTTTCCTGTGCTCTCCTGCAAGTCCCACCCAGTGTTGCCATAGTCCGCATTGTGATGAATGTCCCTCCCCCAGCGATATAACACATCCTTTCCTACACTGGAAAACGCTGTGTGGTTAGCATACAAAAGAGAACCCTAAAGAACACTCACAGGCCAGAACCCTAGAACCATCCCACTATATCCCAGCTCCACTTAAGAGGAAGGGGAGTTTAAGCAGGGCATCATTTCTTGAGTTATTTGTGGAGATCTTGCCCACTCTGGAGGAACTCTGAAGGAAGCCATCAGTGGCCCATGTGCGATGAGTCAATCCGCCCTTGGCAGGGGCTCAGAAGTCTGAGGAACCGGTTCGACACTTTCACTAACCATCCAGTTACTGTTCCAGTCTGCCCATCTGGAGAATGAGAGAATGGGCCTTGGTCACAGGGAAGGACTCTCAGCTGCCAAGTGCTCTAGACTTGGCCCAGAGCAGAGAACCCCTGCGTCTCCTTAAGTGAAAACTTGAAGCTAGCATCCCTTTCTTCCATCACCATCCTTTCCTAGTTGGGTTGCTCTTGGGCCTTGAGGAAGAAGAAAGAGATTCTCCGTCAAGCTGACATGCCTGCCCTCCCCTCTAATTCCCTTTGCTGGCCATCCTTCTCAGTTTCTCAGTGTTTGCAACCGTTCTTTCAGAACGAACGACTCTTTTTCTTCAGATGGTTTTTACAGAGGCAGCAGCTCCTTGGGGTCCCGATGAGGTCCTTGAGGGTCATCTGTTCCCCTAAGCGTACTCAGGGAAGCGGTGGCAGATCACAGGAAGGGCTTCGGCACAGTTGGTGCAACAGAACCACTGGAAACCAATTAACAGGCTGAAAAACCAGAGAAAGGATGCTGGCCGGAGAGCAGGCGCCCCGTGGTAGACAATTACCAGTGTGGGCAGGGATGGCAATGTAGGTCAGCTCTCAGCCAGGAAATAGTTTCACAAGTGCAAAATGTGATTCCTCTCTGGAAGCAAAATCTGGGGAAAGGTTTTCTTTCTATATTTGGGCTCTTGACCACCACCAGGTCACTCTGCCACCCTCCCTTGTTTTCAGAGGCATCTGGTCTTGGCCTCCTCTGTTGCTCCAAAAGAAAACAGCTCAAGGCCCTTCTAACTACGACCTTCTGGTCGATGGCAATGAGAGAAGTCCGTTCCTGTCTTAGGGGCTTGAGCTGGGTTCTGGGGAGTGTGTTGGTAATACACTCTCACATTTTGAGGACATTTTGATAATTTTTGGCAAAAGTATACAATACCCCTTTCAAAAATGTTTGAATGGATTCTTTTATTTTTATAAGATGTTTTTATTAGTTATGGGGTGGGGGTTGCATGTGAGTGCAGTACTTGCAGAGGCCAGACGATGATGCGATTCCCCGGAGCTGGAGCTGCAGACGGTTGTAAGGTGCTGGGAATGGAACTGCAGTCCTCTGGAAGAACAGCTCTCTTAGTGTCGGGCCGTCTCTCTAACATGTTTGACTTGTTTTTGACAGCACATCTGTCACCATCGATAGGACATGTGAAGATTTTTACCCATTTTAGACAAGTATCTGGGACTGTGGAATTGAGATACACCTCTAGACTTATGGGACTATCCTGGCAGGGCGTCGATGGAGAAGAATCAGGAGACCTTGAAGTTCAGATCTGATGATTATGTCATGCAACCCCACAAGCCCCTTAATGCTCACACCAAGGGTGCAGGTCAGTAAGAGTCATGGGACTGTGAGACCCCATTTGGCACAGGACAGACTCCTATGTGACTCCTCATGTATTCTCATTGCTTCTTGGAACAGTTTGAGCAGGTGGGCAGGGCAGGTGCTGCTCTTTGATTTGAGCACATCGAAGTTGAGGCCGAGAGGGGCTAAGAGTCGGGGCTTTCCTAGTTTGTACATACCAGAAAAGAATGAAATGAGAGGACTTCTGGCATCGGGGTTGGAAGTCCTTCCTATGCCACCATGGGTCTGCGTTGCTTCCTCTCAGAGCCTTGGCCAGACAGGGCAGGTATTCTCATGAGAATGTGTTTCTGGTGTCTGGTTTAAACTTATTCTGGAGCTGGATACTAACTCCAGGGGTCCCAGTGCCCTATCAGGTAGACACATTTATCTTTCTGGATGCCACCTTCCCCCAGGGGCTGGAGCCATAGAACCATGACATGCATTTTTCTATGTAGTTCTTATCTAACTACCCATGACACCCCGGGAAAGCCTTCTCAAAGCCTCTGCTCTCTGGTCTCCACTTGGGTGCCCAGACCAGAGGTAGTTTTCATTGTTAGTTCACTTTGGGGTGTCGGCTGAACCTCCAAGTTGTTAGACCAAGCACACAGCCCCAACAGCCATGACACTTTCTGCTGGACTTTTTGTAAAGGAACTCTGTTATCTTCAACCTCCATCCACAAGAAACACGTGTCCCTGGCTAATCAAAAAGCATTTCTTAACACAGTCCATAGGGATGCCTGCAGGTGTGGCTTTGGGGTCCTTCTGGTCTAGACCGACTTTGCAACTGATGTGCCTTCCTAAGTGAGTAACAGACAGCGCATCTCTGACTCACGCTTTTATCATTTGAACTAGCCGTGGCACCCCTCAACACCCCCCAATATTGTTCTATGTTCGTCAAGAAACAGCTTCCAAGGCGTTCTCGGAGCCTCATTACGGAAGGGTAAATGCTAGGGGTGAAGGGATCCATTGTGTGCCCGTGGGAGTCTAATGGCTTTTTTAAAACCAGGAGTCGAGAAGTGTGACTAATGAGCAAACTGTAAAAGCCACGGACCACCTCATTAAATATGAGAGCCATTTCCCAGGCTAGGTAGAAATGAAACCCCCTAAGAAAGGCAGGCCACCTCATCAATTAATGAGGAACTTAAAAAAAAAAAACAAAAAACTACCTGACTTTTGATGCGCGTTGATGGGATGAGAGAGGTGATGGGAAAGGGCTTAGTACAAAATGTACTCTGGGGTGAAGAGCAGCTGGCGAGTGATGCCAGGGCCCCAGCAATTCTCGGCTATATTTTCCCATTTTTCAAGGACCTCAGTCCTGAAATGTTCTCGCTATTCCTCTAGAACTGTTAGGAGCTCACAGCTGGGTTCAGGGATTCGTTGTTGTGTGTGCTACAATATCATTGCTGGGAGTTGTATAGTTGTTTCCTTCAGGCTGGATACGACCATACCTGCTTTAGTCAGGGAGGCTGTGGTCACCCACACAAGAGCTTCATGAGATTGGGGCCTGTTGGTGCTCTCTCATGGAAGCTGTGATGTGCTGACATCCTCTCACAGAAATGGTGATACTCTGACAGACATTCCCTCATGGAAGTGGTGACACTTTGACACACATTCCTTCCTGGAAGTGGTGATGCTCTGACAGGTATGGTGGTGGTGAGATTCTGTAAGACATTTCCTTAACAGACATGGTGAGGCTCTGACAGACATTCCCTCATGGTAGTGGTGAGGCTCTGACAGACATTCCCTCACAGAAGTGGTAAGACTCTGACAGACATTCCCTCACAGAAGTGGTAAGACTCTGACAGACATTCTCTCACAGAAGTGGTAAGACTCTGACAGACATTCCCTCACAGAAGTGGTGAGGCTTAGATACTCAGCGATGCTCTCCTTCCTTCAGCAGACCCTCCCCGAGCTCCTCCCCTTCCTGGAGTCATATAAAAGAAACCCAATCTTAGGTAGTATAGATGCCTGTAGGTTGCCTGGGGACTCTTCAGTGGTGCAGCTTTTCCTGAGTCATCCATGCTTTGGGTGAGCCTCTTAAGTAATGCAGCTGAGAATAAGCTTCCCAAAGGGATTCCTAGTGCCTTAGGTGCTTTGAGTCACTTATGCTTCTGAAAATAATTTCAATAACCTGTTTGGTTCACCAAGCTGTATTTGGACAGAATCTTTCTTTAGTTGTTGGTGTCCTTTCTCTCTGGGGGTAAATCCATGTTTCTTTACTAACCCCCAGGAAAGGTTATGCAATATCTCTCCAAATCCCTGTCAGATCTGTCTCGCCCTCACTGACCCTCCGTGGAGCTCTGGGAGATGCCTTTCTCAGACCAGCTTCTGTTTATGTCTCTGATGTATCATTGGTCTTTAAAACCCATGCTGGCTCCCCTCTCGTACAGGGTCAAATCCGCACACCTTAATGTGGCATCCAGGGTCCTGTGCCATCACATCTGCCTCTCCAAGAAGGACACGCTCCTGCTACTGTGAACTCATTGGTCCCCAGCAGGGTGGGCCAGACCTCTCCTGCCTCAAGCTCAGCTCATACTCCTCCCTGCCTTTTCGGTCCTTTCTTAGTCTTCATTGTCAGGATTCAGCTTACAACAGCCTATTGTTTGGAAACAGTATCTTTCCGCACTTTATCAAGCTCTCTTTCTTCTGGAGAGGTCCCCAGAGCCTAGCTGGGGCCTAATACAGAACAAGCACATAGTGCTAGCTGTTGTGTCTCATATGTGATCCTATCCTTACCAGCTTTGTTGGTTTGTTGGTTTGAAGACAGGGTCTCACTATGTAGCTCTGGCTGCCCTGGAACTCACTGTGTAGACCAGGTTGATCTCATATTCGCAGAGATCCACCTGCATCTTCCTCCCGAGTGCTGGGATTAAAGGTGTGCACCACAACACCCGGTTTACCACATTTCTAAAGGTCACACTTGGTGGGTGAAAATGAAGGCTGGAGTTGTTGTTTTGTTTTGTTTTTTATTGTTTTTCTATTTTGCCTATGGCCTGAAAAATAAAATCCAGTCTGGTAAGTGAGGAGGAGGGTTGGAGGGGTCTCTTTTCCCCATAATATAGCCTCTCTGTGACAGCATCATGCCCAGCCCTGGGGGGACCAAGAGACTGTCACCTTTAAGCTCTTGTCTCTGCCTCCATCTTCACAGGCTCCTGCTAGTGGCTGGTGAAAGCTGCCCTGCCCCTGTCAATCAGGAGCTAACATCTGCTCACAAGGCCCCCTAAGGCAGGTGCCACTGAGACCCATAGCTTGGCTACCTTGGCGGCAGAAAACATGTCTTTTGATTTGTCCTACATTGTCTGTTCCAGCCCATCCTCCAAGGCTCAGTACGAACACTCACACCAGAAATCGCCCTTGACGTGAAAATTGCATAATTGATGATTAGGAGGTGGTAAACACCATTAAATTGCCTCATTATTTTTGTAATAACCAAATGGATAAACATTAGGACTTAGAATTGAAATGTCTGCTGAGCTCTTTAGCAGGGCTTCCAGCTCGAGGTGGGAGCCAAGGATTTCTGAGCCACCTGCAGGAGCTTCCTCACACAGATTGGTGGCTGGCACAGCTGACTCTTTGGTCGTGATTGTAAAATGCCTTCTTGCCCTTCGACGCCTCAGGAATACTGGGCCACTGATCAGGACTTGGCAGTAGGCATTGGATATACACTCCAGTTCTCTGTTACTGGCCATGTGACCTTGGTCAAGTCATGCTTCCCCTCTGAATCTCCATTTCCTCATCTAGAAAATGAGAGTGTTTGCCTCCAGGGAATGCCCTGGAAATGGAATAAGGTTCTCTTCACAGAACTCCTGTTAGAAGTTCAAACGCTTTATTCATCCCGGCCCTTCATCAGTCCAGCTAGGGATCTTCCAAGGGCGCCATCCCCAAACCTGGCTAGTAGGTCTTCGAGCATCTTGTTGCAATGCAGGGTCAGGGCAGTAGCCTTGAGCCAGACAGCCTCCCTCTCTCCTCTTTCCACTGCCTGTCCGAAGCTTGAGCCACAGACACTGCAAGGCAAGGGCGTCAAAGGTTGTGCTTACCGTCTGAGGGCCAGAGCCTGTTTGCAGAGGCGGGGCCCTTGTAGCACCTTGGCCGCTGTTTCCCACACTCTGCTATGTAATCTTGCTGTGTAGGCGGGCTGTGGTGAGTGTGGCACAGAGCATCCAGGAAGAATGCCTGGAGGTGCTTTAGAGTGACTGGTCCCCAGGAAGGAGGGACCATGGAGGGTACCAAAAGCAGAGCGACGGCAGGGCTGTGCTGTCGTGGACAAGTTCTTGGTGGCTCGCCAGGCCCAGGAGTGCCCTCTTAGGCCAAGAGTCCCTTTCGTCACACCTTCAGCACAGGTCTATTTTCTTAAAACATGGGACTAAGAGTTGCAGAGTTGTTGAGAAATCAGTGACCAGGTGTTCAGTGGGCATCCCTGACTCTCTGTAGCTCCTCCACTTAGCCCCTGTATTCCTGGGAGGTAGCGCCCTCATTTTAAAGACAAAAGGATGAAGAAATTTGTCTCAGAAGGCTCAGGCACTAGATAGGGAACCTGGGACAGAACCTTGGGCACCTGGATCCAGGGGACTGCACTGCCCAACTTCATACCTCACAAAGAGCGAGGCTGACGAATGACTGTGGCTCGGGTTGTCCTCCTGAGGTCCAGCACTAACTCAAAAGAAGGCACTTCCGGGAGCCCCAGGCTCTCACCTGCTCTGAAGCAGGTGCATCTTTTAGGTTACTGTTTCCCGGTATAAACAACCAGGGTCGGGTTGGAGAGTTAGCTCAGAGGGTAAAGCATTTACTGTGCAAGTTTGAGGGTCTGAGTTTGGATCCCCATAACTCATGTAAAGCTGGATGCAGTAGTGTGCGTGTGTGTAATCCTGGCCCTCCATAGCGAGATGGAAGATGAAGACAGGAGAACCTGTGGAAGATCTCAGGTCAACTACCAGGGCATACTCAGTGGTGAACAATGAGAGAACTTGTGTCTAACAAGGTGGAAGTCAAGGACTGACACCCAAGGCCGTCCTCTGACCTCCATATGTGCACCGCAGCATGTACGTACATGTGTTCAGACGCACATGCTTGTACACATACACACAAAGATAAGAAAAAACCCACAGTGTATTTGGGTGCATTCGAGTCCCTGGAGCCTACATTTGTAAGCAAAATCACTTAAGGTGATAATCAAAATCAAATCCAAGTCGGAGGCTGGGGAGAGGCTCAGCAGTTAAGAGCACTGACTGCTCTTCCAGAAGACCCACAAGTATCTGTAACTCCAAGATCTGGCACCCTCACACAGACACACATGCTGGCAAAACCCCAGGGCATATAAAATAAAGATAAATAATTAAGAAATTCAAGTCAAGGTTAGTGGGGTAGCGATGAGGCACTTGTTGGAGGAAGTAGAGAGGTGGGGGAGGCGAGACAAGCTGCTGCAGGAATCAGATCCCTGGGTGTGAACTTTCAATTATACATTCCCTAAATCTGTGATCTCCTCCAGGCAGAGAAAATGTCATTTGACTGGCAAGGGACCTCTACACCCACCCACTTGCTCCCTTCCTCCCCCATCCTGACATGCCATAGTGTAGGCAAAGCATTAAACGAGGGAAGACACGTTCTCCAAATGCCAGCGGTTCTCCTGAAGCTTGGTTAGGCTGGCTGTGAGCCTTGCTGGCACCCCAGGCCCCTGGTAAAGAGCACAGATCCCTAGATCTAGGCAGGCTGAGTAGCCGGCTGTATAGCAGGTCTCTATCACAATGGTGCAAGGTCAGAGCTGGGCATTGCATAGGGAAGCCCATTCGTGCTTACAGCTTTGCAGCAACACGGGTGTCTGCTGGGTAGATGCATGTACGGAACCCTCAGAAGGACTCTACCACGTGCTCACTAGTGTCTGCTGGGTTAACACTATACCCCAGTCTTAGTCCCTGAACCCGGATCTCAGTGCCTTCTTTCACAGATGTGGTCCTTGGAAGCGCCCCAACCAAGGGCCATTGACTTCTTGTGTATCACTGACTGTCACACCTGTGTGCTGGCTTCCTGCTCTTTTGCAATATGAAGTATCTGGAGGAGAAGAGCCTACCTGCCTGGCTTCTTGCTGCAAAGACCATGTTGTCTTTATTAGGGTAATGAAAGGCTTGCTCTGAAACATGCAGGCGAGGATTATGGCAGATGGTCTGAGTTATGCGTGTGTGCCAGCTCTCCTCAGGAAGCTCTGTGACTGTGCCAAGCTCTCTGGGGATGGCAGCACTGTGAATCGCGTCACTGTGCACTGGCTGAAGGGCTTGGCTGACCCAAATAACCTGTTAGCTTGATGCCTGTGATTTTGAACTGGTTTTTCATATAAAGTTCTGGGCTCTTTCAATGGTTTCATTTAGGGGAGTTGGGCACCAACCATGTGCAGAGACATGACAAGGCACCAGAAAGATATAATTAACATCATATCACAAGCTGGCATTCAAGGGTCTCACAGCCTTTGGGAAGAGGCCAGCTGGGCATTGATTCTCAGATTTCACTGTTTCCTTGGCTGGTTTGCTCCATGCCCTCTAACCCTTGGCTCCCACCGTATACTGCAAACCTCCCCCAACCCCCATCCTCAATCTGTGAGTTCATGTACCCTTCAATGCATCCACTCATCCCACAAATACCGCTGGGCGCCTACTATGTGCCCGTCCATTGCTTCTGTACATGCATCAGTGAGGAAAATAGATGGCTGATCTAATCCCTGGTGGAGACAGCAGCTTCTGGTCCTCTCTATCATTCCCAAATAGGGAGGGTAGTCCTAGAGGGCAGTGAGCCTGTCTACATTTCTGGGCCAGTTCTTGGCTCATTAAGTGCGTGGGGAACAGGTGAAGAAGAAATGACAGCAATATAAGATGGTTACTATAATAAAAATTAGCATTTGTACATGTTTCTTACAGGTGTCAAAACATCCTCCATATAAATGACTTCATGTGATTCCGCACAAAGCCCTGTGTGGAGCAGTTGCTTCTGTTTGAGAGTAGGAATGATGCTGAGGCCTGGGAAAATGTTGACCCACGCACATGGAGAGAGCATGTCTTTGGGATTTTAATTCGACATGCTTTCTGCACCACACAGGGGTGTTTTCTTTTTTAAAAAAAATAAAGAATATTTTACAAATATGAGTGTTTTGACTGCATTTTTAGACGAGTGGCCGTGTTCTTGCAGTATCCACAGAAACTATGGAAGGTGTTAGATCCCCTGAAATGGGAGCTACAGATGCTTTTATCTGCTGTGTGGGTGCTGGGGATCAAACTCAGATCTTGACAACAAGAACAGCATGTGTTTTTAACTGCTGATCCATCTCTCCAACCCCAGGAATAGTGTTTTTAAATTTAAAAAAATTGGACGTGTTAATGAACCGGGGGGGACCCGGAAAGAGAGAGAGAGCGCCACAGGGAGCTGCAGCTAAACCTGCACAATGATCTTCCCTGCTCTCATACTGCAATGATATAACATGCTGCCAATAAAAAAGCAAATAAAAACAGCTACAGAGAGAAAGGGTTCACTTGGACTTACAGTTGCAGAGAGATGCTGTGCCTCGAGGCTTGGAAGGCAACAGGCAAGGAAGGCATGGACGTTGGTGGGAGCAGGAGGCTGGGTGGTCACGTCGCATTCACATTCAGGAAGCAGAAAGTGAACTGGACATGGGTTTAGCCTCTAAAGCTTCACCAGGCGTCCCTGGTGACCCACTTCTCCCAAGTTTCTTCCACAACCTCTTCAAACAGTGTCACCAGTGGAGGACCAAGCGTTCAAACGCACGAGTCTCCGAAGGACATTTCACAGCCAATCCACAGCAGTGACTTCCTGACAGAATGCCACAGATGACCTGAGAGAGGAAGCCCTGTGTGGGTCTACAGGCAGGTGATCAGTCTGACCTGTGATCATGACATGGGCTTGAAATGGTCCAGACCAGCCCAGAGTTTCTTGACCTGTCTCATCCCCAACTTCCCTGGGACTTCCCTTGGAGACTTAATTAGGTATTTTTAGAAAGTCCCAGAACACTTTTCTCAGTGTAAGTGGAATTGAAAGGCAAGTTCTCTCTCTCTGTAGAAGGGACTGACTTCCAGGATCCCAGGTTGGCCTTTGCCTCAATCCGTTCCTCCCCTCTCCTCCTTTGAAAGATGTGGACTGAAAGGCGTTAGAAGCCAATGGATTGATACCCTGGCTCTAGACTAAGTGTTCATGGCTTTGCCCTGCCCTCTGTGAAGGGGAGCATTTGGACTCCTTCAGGAGGCTGCAATGGGTGTCCAGGATTATTTTCTGCTACTCTGTGCTTAGTTGGTTTCTGACTCTCACCAAGTGGGATGGAGGATGCTCGGCATGGGAGCCAGTAGTATCTCTTTCACATGGGTTTTCCCACTTGATTGGGAATTCCTCAAGAACAGAGGCAGGCTGATTCATCGTCATGCTCTGTGCCCAGTGTGACGTGTACGTGTTCATTTTGTTGATACAGTGAAAACATGACGTGTGATTCATTAGAACCCAAGCCCAAAGCCCAGTGTGGTGGCACACACCTGAAAACCCAGTACTTGAGAGGCTGAATTGGGAATTTAGTACAGAAGTTCAAGACAAGCCTAAGCAACATAACGAAGCCTGATCTTAACAATTATTAATCAGTTAAACAAGATCCACTGTTCATATAGTTCATATCATATATGTTTTTCGAAGTATAATGTATTGCTCAAATATGAATAGAAAGAAAACAGCAATTCCTTTCTCAACAAATGTCCCTACTTTCCTTCTAGAATCAATTTTAATTGTTTTTTTTGTTTGTTTGTTTGTTTTTGGCAGGGAGTCTCACTATGTAGCCCTGGAGTGTCTTGGAACTCACTATTTAGACCAGGCTGGCCTTGAACTCAGATCCACTTGCCTCTGTCTCCCAAGTGTGGGGATAAAAGGCGTACACCATCACACCCAGAAAAATTAAAATTTTATTTTGTGTGATGGGTGTTTTGCCTGCAGGTATGCATATGAACAACTTGTGTGCAGTGCCCTTAGAGGTCAGAGGAGGCTTTGGATTCCCTGGAACTACATATGGACAGTTAGTAGCTATGAGGTCAGAGGAGGCTTTGGGTTCCCTGGAACTCCATATGGACAGTTAGTAGTTATGAGGTCAGAGGCGGCTTTGGATTCCCTGGAACTCCATATGGACAGTTAGTAGCTATCGTGAAGGTTCTAGGCACTGAACCCAGGTCATCCACAAACAGAAAGTACTCTTTTTTGAATTAAATCTTATTTATTTTTATGTGTGTGGTGCTTTGCCTGTATGTGTGTGTCTGTGAACCACTTGCGTGCCTGGTCCTAGCAGGGCCAGAAGAGCTCCTGGAGCTAGCGCTACAGACAGCTATGAGCCATCACGTGTGTTCTAGGAAACACAGCCTGATCTTCTAGAATAGCAGCAAGTGGTTCTGACCATTAAGCCACCCCTCCAGTCCACAGAGCAGCAGTACTCTTGACTGCAAAACTGTCTCTTGGACCCTCCATTTTAGTTTTAAAAAGTGCATTGCGGGGGGATGGCTCCACATGTAAATGTGTTTGCAGTATAAGTCTGATGACTTGGGTTCAATCCCGGAACCAGCCCTGGAAAGAGAGAACCCACTCCCAAAAGTCGCCCTCTGGCCTCCACATGCTTATTATGGTGTACACACACACACACACACACACACACACTAAATAATTTTAGAAGCATCTTGAAAGACAGAAAATGTTAATAATTAGTAGTAACCAATGCTGTCCAAAATTAAGAAAATGTTTAGTTCCTATTTTCAACTTAAAAAATGATGGGAAATTATAAAAAGCAATAGCGAAAATTCCGGTTTGCTTTGCTCTGTAGCCATTTAAAAAGCAAAGCAATGTCACTGGGCCTGGAGCCTGGGGTCTTTAATCCTATCTGCTCCCAGTCTGAAGCAGGAAGCTGGTAAGCTCAAAGCCTGTTTGGGCCATAGGGCTACAGACTAAAACCAAAATAAACTCCTTGACTGTCTTTCTGGATGTTTGTGCTAAAGAAATAATGTAAAAAATTCAGAACAAAAGCTGCATAAATGAAGACTTTTATCTTTGACTTCTGTGGTTAAAAACAAAACTGGGAGCATGCATAAAAAGGAGCAAGTTGAGCCAGGCGATGGTGACACACACACCTCTGATCCCAGCACCCAGCAGGTGGATATCTATCTGAGTTCGAGGCCAGCCTGGTCTACAGAGTAAGTTCCAGGACAACCAAGAATACTCAGAGAAACCCCATCTCAAACAAAACCAAACCAACCAAACAACAACAGTAAAAGGAGATAGTTCAATGATGATAAGACATCAGCACACTGAGGTATTACTCAATCTTAAAATAATCATGAGCCTCTAGAATCTTGGAATGAGAACACACAAGCTTTTGGTAGGAACAATGTTAAAAATATGCATTTGTGTCTATTGGAAAGAAAGGAATATGCAACATAAACTTAATCTTTAAGGGTAAAAAGTACATGCTGAGATATTAACAATGGCAATTTTTGACTAGAGAGGCTGTGAATGGTTTTCTTTTCCCCTGTCAATCTTCTCTATACTTCCCGATTTTCACGTCACCAAAATAACTTACACTTTGTTTGTGGGGCAGGCTATAATTGACTCTATGAATGAGCCCCTGCCCCTTTTTTGACTGGGAAAATAATAGATGATGCATACTATAGGTCACCACTGATTGTAATAATATTGTTATAATAAAAGTATTACTTTTGTAAAAAGTAAACATGGTCTGGTGTAGGGGGAAACAGGACTCCGCCATTAGCCTGTTTCCCCCTACACCAAATGACGCTGCAACGGTAAACGGCACACTTGAGGGTATGGGTAACTGTTTACTGTAGAAATCACAAGAGAGAAACGAGCAACCCTGATGAGTCGAGCAGTTTTCCATCACCGAACCGGAAGCCGAAAAAAGGGAGAGCGCTCTGCTGTTCCTTCTTTTATTCCTTCCTCCCTACATGCCCCTAGCCATGCCCAAAAGTGGGCCTGGCTAGTGGGGTAGTTCCGCCCACCCTGTCTCTAGTCATACCTAAAGTGGGTGTGGTTAGCGACGCGGTTCCGCCCTTTCATTACCACATCCACGTGTGTCTTTAGAGCACCACATGGCTAATGGCGGGAGTCCTGTTTCCCCCTACAGTCTAGGGATGTGGTTGCTCACTTAGCATGTGCCGAGTCCTGGGTTTGATCCCTGATCCCTAGCACTTCATAAATTGGGTGTGGTAGCACATATCTCCATAATCCTAGCATTTGGGAGGTAGAGATACAAGGATTCAGAAGTTCAAGGACCTCCTCAGCTACATATGAAGTTCTGGGCTACTGAAGTAACAAGATGCCCTGCAATAAAGGGGGGTAAGGTGGAGGAAGGGGGAGGGAGGGGGAGGGAGGGGGATGGGGGAAGGGAGGGAGGGAGAGGGGAGGGAGGGGAGGCAGGGAGGGACAGGGACGGAGGGAGAGGGGAGGCAGGGAGGGACGGAGGGAGAGGGGAGGGGAGGCGGGGAGGGAGGGACGGAGGGAGGGGCGGAGGGGCGGAGGGAGATAAACTGACCGGAGTCCCAGAAGCTGGTCGCTTCCCCTGAGTTGCGTCACCCCCCTCCCATCTGGCCCGTGTCTAGGAGGCCACTGGTAGCCGCTTCTTGTCTTCTGCTCTTCCTTCTACCACTCTGCGTCATGCAGTATGGCTTTTGCTAACTTCCTGTCTCCCCCTCTACCAAACATAACTTCCTTAAGGACAGAGACAGGGGCCTCTTCTGTTCCCTGATAAGTCTAATATGCTTGGCATTTGGGACCTAATATATATTTGTTGAATACAGTGGAGGTCTACAGGGAACTCCGTCAAGAGAAAAAAGGGCAAGCAGAGGCGGAGGCCCAGATGTAAGAAATCCCCTACTATCAGAGTCCAGATCCAGGGTCCGTGGGACGTGGTATGTTTGAGTCTGGTCAGAGTGGGCATCGCAGCATCCCATGGTTGGGTGTAGGGATAGGGCATGTGCAACAGTTCCCAGATTTTACTGTCCTACTGGGAGGTGGGGCCCTCATTGTCAACAGGCTAGGCATGAAAGGTATAAGATCGGGAGGCTCATTAAGTGGGTCACTAGACCCTCTCGAGTTGAGTGTTCCAAATCAGCTTCAGGATTTAGATAAATGAAATGAGGGGCAGTGGAAGAGTCAGGGAGCCTGTGCTATGCTTCCTTGGAACAGGTGTCTTCCAAAGCAACCGTGGTCAGAGATCACACCCGTGGAGGGAGGTGGCAATTAGTGTCAACTTGGACCGGAATGCTGGATGAGTCAGGGACCTCTTGGGGATGCATCTCTCTTCAACAAATGCAGTTGATTGCCTTCTTTCTTTGCACACATTTCATCTATAAACTTTTGTGTCTTCCCTTCATATGACCGCTATACGCTCAGGGCAATCCCCTGCCTGCTGCGGGTTTGAGTGCTTTTGTGTTTGTCTTTGTAAGACTTCCACACTGAAGCTAGTGGTTGGGCTGGCTCAAGGAAATCCCAGCCTGTCAGCTATATTCCTTTTCCTTTCCAAAGTGAAGAGATTGTGTATCCTGAATCTAACCACCTCCCAGGAGCTAGGCTACCTCTCCCACCTCTTACCTAGTTATTATCCACCCCTAGGAGTCCATCTTCCACCTAACCCCTCCAGTCTCCTCACCCAGGAACCGGAGTGCCTCTCCACCCAGTACAGGCTGAATAAGCCTGGCTGAATTTCACCCACCAGTGTTCGTCATAACGACTCTTCAGCACTTTAGGATAGAATTAGCTGTCCAGAAATACCTTGGTTTGTTCGTCTGTGTTGACTATTCAGGAGAGCAAATGCTTCCTGAATGTCTGAACATACAGGAAGACAGAGGGATGTCAGAGTGGGCGGGGAAGAGCACCCCTAATCAGGAAAGGAAGTGGCACGTCACTAGTGGACAAAAAGGAAAACAGCTGACTTTAAAACTACATATAAAAACAATGGGAACTACTGACTTGCATGTCGGTAGCTGACTCATAAAGTGTATTCTGCTTCCATTGCCTGGCCTCTGCAGTGAGTCTCCCCACCATGGAGTGGCTTGTGGCTTGGCTCTTCCTCGTGTAGTGATTAAGTAGGGCTCTAGGCTTAACTGTCGCCACACATTGTCATGTGTGACTGTGGGTGAAGAGAACAGATAGTTCTGTTTGGTAAGAAGATTTCCAAGGTGACTTTGAACCAGAAGCCTGTCCAGGGAGTACACTTAGAAGACAGAGAAATGGATCTCACCACATGAAAGGCTCATCCAAATGATCCCCGAAACACTGAGAAACGGCGAGCTCTTTCATCACAGATTACAGCAAAGAGGTGCAGAACAAGTCAAGAGAAACTTCTTGTGTGGAGAGGTTTTGACATGGAGACCCACTTAAGATGGCGGTGAGACAGGAACGCTTAGCTCCTCCATGTCTACTTGTGGGAGACTAGGACTTCCCCTCCTTCAGGCCCCCTCACTGGAAATGGCCCACAGTCTTGTTCTCAGGCTGTCTCTCTGGCAGGATCACATCCTCAGGTACAGTCAGGGTGAGGGCTGTGTGAGAGGCACCTGCCATCTGTTAATGCAAATGTTTTTGGATTCTAGGTGATGACTCATTTACTTTTCCTGCTGTTCTTGCTGCTGCCGAGACTAATGTACCTATGGGGCTTCAGTGGAAAATAGGCTGGACTCACTTGTCATGAAGCTCTATTCCTCGGCGAAGACCATGTCCATGATGGGAAATCTTTCCAGTACCCCGGAGAAGGTGGAGATAATGTGTTTGGAAGTGGTGGGAGGGAGCTACAGTGGGATAGAGTCTGGTCCCTCCCCCAACGCTGGGCCTAGCACAGATCCAAAGGAGCCACTGACTGGCCTTAGTAGGGTTGTGTTCTCTTGTTAAGTCTCTTGGAGGGTTACTCATGCTGACCACTAAGTTGTCCCCGGAGAGACCCCTCAGTTGACTGTTGGCTAAGCAAATGACAAAGATGTGTGGCCACACAGCAGGCAAGGATGGCCTATCGAGGGCCACCAGGATGAAAGTGCTGACCAGCAAGGCCCCTTAGGCCAGGGTATCCCTGATACCACAGCAGTTGTTAGAAGACAGGAGAGGGGGAGGGGACTCTTCCCAAGCCACATGCCAGGTTAGAAGCTGAGGCAGGTGTGATGGGGCTTCCATGGTGGGCAGCTGAGTGTGTGTGTCTGGGGAGACTGTCCTGCCATCATTTCCCAGGTAGACACCTGAAGATGAGATTCATTAAGCCACTCTGTGCACTCCTGTCTGGCAGCCCAAGTCTTAGGATAAAACATGTGTTTCTCCACACAGTGTTTCACACAAATCAGCTTTTATTGTTTGTATCATTATTTTTTGTCTAAGAAGAGAAAAAGAGAGATTACTATGATGGCTCAAATCTAGCTTTAATCATGTCTCCTAAAAGATCCTAAAATATTCCTATGCTTCATGCTCCCCCTTTTCTCCCACCACCCCAAAATCCTAAGCCAGACAGCAGCAGCAAAACCCTAAGACCAGGAGTCTCTCATTCCATCAAGTGTGTTACATTTCTCACTGGGACATTCTAAAGCTTGGAATCCCTAAGCTGAAGGTGGGTGGGATCCTATTCTTACCATAGAGTAGGTGTGGCTTTTATAGACTCTTAGATCAGAGGCAGAGCTGTGCACATGGGGGCAAGGGAAATAACTGCACTGGGGGAGTTCAAGTGCAAGCCACTGGTCCCTTCTGCCATGGTCACTGCGTAGACAAGGTGACCAGCTGCATGGGCCTGCCTACATCAAAGCCAGTCCCATCAAAGGAGCCACTGACCTAAGCAGGATGATAAATCTCGCAGATGTCCAGGAGTATCCTAGTCTAGAGTGATATGTGTGGTGCAGGAGGTGGCTTGGGGGAATGAGGCAGCCTGTTCACAGTAATCATAGACATCACCAAGGGGCAGTGCACCAGGAGGGATGTGTCTAACCGCTGGTGTTGTCTGTGCACAAGATGTCTCTGTTCAGAGGATGTTCCAGGAACACCTGAACCCTGCCGTATCTGTGTACTGAGGGTGCAGGGGCAGGTACCAGTACCCAGGGCCATGCAGTGACTGTGCTCTAAGGGGGACAAGGTGCCTAAAAGGTCTCTGTGTTCCCGACTCCAACTGGGAATTTGGCGGTAAAGGGATGCAGATGAGCTGTGGGTGTCTGGCTGAACCTACAATACAAGAGAACTTTGGCAAATGATCTGTGTCCCTACAGGAAAAAACAAGACTCTCCAGCGCTTGTGACAGATGCTCTGGGGAAGGGGGACAGGGCACTCCATGCCAGTCAGCCAGCTGCATAGCATGGTTGCAACAGGAGCACAGAAGAGAGACCCCAGTGAGCCACCTTCCTTTTTCCATGGAGGGCCTGACATCAGACCCCAGGGTGTACTGATGTTGTGCAAAAGCCCTTCCATGTTTGGAGTGGGTGAGACACCGAGACTTGGGGAATAAAACAAATTATCTATGCCCGGGTAGGCCAAGGGGTTGTTAGCACACACTTGTACAGACTTGTAGCTGTGTGCATCTTAAAAAACAACAGAGGATTGCACATTTTACTTCCGTTTTGGAAGAATTCTGTAGTCAGGCACTACCAAGAAGCGCCAACCTAGTCAGTCCACTCAAAAATAGCTGTGGCTAGCCCATGGCTGTGGAGGCAACTTGTTCAGGCTAGCTCTAGGATGTTTTAGAACTGCGTGTGTGCATGTGCGTGGGTGGGTGCATGCGTGTCTGTGTGTATGTGTGTGTGTGTGTGTGTGTGTGTGTGTGTGGTGTGTTGGGGGGTTTATGACAACAGAATATGATTCTTCCCTTTGTACAGGATCTTTGTACAGGATCAACAGCCTGTTTCTTATAAACCAATGTCAGTTCCCTGATTCCTAAACCTTGGTTATTTACTAGACTAGAATCCTCTCTGGGAAGTGTTTAATCTCATGTCATATACAGAGAAACAAAGTGTTGGCTTCGAGAGAGACCCAGAGTTCACTGCAAGGGCAGCAGGTGCTCTGGAAGGAACCAGTTCTGGGAGGAGCCAGCGGTGAAGGGAGAAGTCCTGGCTGTAGCCATGTCTAGGAACAGCCATAGAACTTCTGTGTGGCTGTTGTGGTGGAATGTGGGGCTAGAAGAGAGTTTGCCAGGGGGCTCGGCCCGTGTGCAGCTGTGTTGCTGTCTCCACAGACATGCTATACAAGGCCTGAGGGTCTGAGCTTCACTGGGCTCATGTGGCACTTGAAACCAGGCTGTGTGGGAGGCTTCCACCCTCCCCCCCAACATTCTCTTTGCTTGAAGATCTGGGGCCCCAGCCTGGTGCTGTGGACTCAGGGCCATCCCTCCCCCTCTTCCTGGGAGATGCCCAGCACGGATTTATGGAGGATACCACACTCCTGCAGGGACTTGGTGAGGTCAGAGAAACGTCTCCTGGGCACCTCCATGGTTTCGATGCTGCAGTGTTGGTAGGTGGCTTTGTTTTTCTGCTCAGCCACTGTGAGGACTGTCTGTAGGTCATCGCTGGGTCTGAAGTAGCGCACGAACCTTTGGCCTGAGGGTGACCTGATGGCCAGCAGCAGCCTTGGCTCTTGGTCTGTTGGCTCCTCGATGTTTGAGACCCCAGAGGAACTCTGTCTCTTGGTTCGGATGATGCATTTCTTCTCTAAGGCACAGACTTGGGTTCTGGAATCTTCTTGGCTTGACTTTCCAGTGGTGCAGGCCTCTTCCTGGTAAAGGGCCTGGACACTACTCAGCTGCAGAGAACTGGCCTTTTTGGCCACTGTGTCCACAGCCGGGTCCTCCAGGCTCCTCCTGCTGATGGAAGGGAGGACTGGGTACTTGTTGAGAGATGAGGTGGCCCCCATGGGCATCTGTGGCAGCAGCTCCGACATCTCGTCAGGGGCTCCCTGAGGTGGAGAGACGGGTGCACAGGCTCCGGGTTTCTGGCTGCTTGGTGACCCAGAGGAGCATGGTGGAGGCGAAGCAGACCGTACACTGGAAGAGCCATCGCCCGTGCCTTGTGGTCTGTGCAGATTCAGCCGCTTCCGGCCCTTGGCAGACTTGGGCCTGATGACATGCATCCTGAGGGAGCTGGGCTGCCAGATGAAGCTGTCAGCTGAGGTACCGACCACAGTGCTGCGTTTAGGTGGTGCGAGGTTCACAGGAGCTTCTGTGGCCATTGCTTCTCAGGACCCCTAGGGAAGCAGGCAGAAACAGAGAAAGCCATGGGTTAAGTTCCTGAGACACGGAGATTCACTCTTCTGCCATTCCCTGTCCATTGGGAGGGTGAGCATCAATGGGCCAGAGCATGGGGCCGTTCTCTGGGTTTCTCACGTCGGAAGAGGGGGAGCAGCTGTGACTCACTCATTCATGGTAGGTTCTTGGAACATGTCAGTGAACCAAAGTCCTTAGAACTTAAATTACTAAAGTGAGGAGAGAAGCGGGTGGAATTCACAGTCTGTGAATGAGAAAAGTGATGAGAAAGTTGGGCATGTTGCAGAATAACTGAGGCAGGGGACTAATTCTCACCCCATGGAGAAGGGCCAGTGAGCAGAAAGGCCACCCTGAGAAGGAACAAGCCATGTGGCAAGCCAGAGTCGGGATCAGACAACTTTTTCCCTAGGTAGGTTTGTAACGACTGAGTTCTGTCTACAGTGCTGGCACAAACCAGCGTGGTGACACACTCGACAGGGTGCGCTGTGTGCAGCTTGATTGGGCCATGACTGAGAAAAGTGTCTGGGGACAGAAGGGCTCTGGTGAACTCCTACAGTGGGCAGAGTATACTGAGTCCCAGCTGGCTCTCAGGGCCGGAAGCTCCCCTAGGGAGTGGCCCACGCAGACTGCAGATGCAGAGGCTGAAATGTTGCGGGGGGGGGCTGCCTTTGCTTAAAGAGTCCCTGCTAGGACACTCGACAGGACAACCAGACTCAGCTCCACTCAACAGCAGGCCACGTCTCTCTACAAGGGACACCTTCTGTGTGCCCTGCCATCACTACTGTGGACACGCTGCCCTCTGAACCCCCATTCTCCCTCTGCTGCTGACCTCCCTCTGAACCCCCATTCTCCCTCTGCTGCTGACCTCCCTCGGCTCTCTCTCCCTCTCAGGCCACACTAGGCCTTACTTCGTTTGCTCCCTCACCTTACCAGGGCGCTCCACACAAGTCACACGGAACATGGCTCCCCAGCTTGGAGGGGTAGCAGAGAGGAAGGGGCTGCCCTGATCACCTGCTAGAACTCACAGGGGACACTCAGGTTCTGGACAAGGCAGGCTGCAAGCTTCCACACGAACACCTAGAGAGCGTCTATTTTTGACTTTTCAGTCTGTGGAGACCAGGCAGCTCTGCCTCTGCAGGTCAGTCCTGGGCAGGATCAGAAGGATGGGTGTGACTTTGTTTCCATTGTGGGCCAGTCTCGTGCTTCTCTTACTGTACAGCAAAGCTGTACCTGTTGCTCTTCCCAGGCGTGTTCAACTTTTGACACCACCATATGACACTATCAGGCCACGTTCATAACTGTCCTTGCACATGTGTGAGTCATGGGCCCACATACCTACTTTACAGCAGACCCCGATGTATTGGTGATGGCTTTCCTCCCACTCAGTGCTTAAACAGCTGGGAGACCCCAGGCCTCAAACCTCCCCTCTCCAGTGCATGGAATGGCCGCGAGCTTGATGTGGGAGAGTCCTCTCCTTCTATGCAGTTGCCTCAAAACTACAAAACACTTCTTGAGTTAATCATCTCCTTCCGACGGCACACTTTCACTTACCTCAGATTCACTTCCTCCAAGTTCCTCCCATAACTCAGTCCTCAACAGTGTCATTCCTAGTCCTTGGGCTTATATGGAACCCTTGCTGCTGTGTGTGTTCTTTGTCAAACCAAAGGAACCAAACCACAAGGAACCAAACCACACCACCTCTTTGTATTCCTGGCAGTCTGCTGTTCTAAGTCTCAGACAAGGCCCCCTTCCCTTTCATATTTTAATTGTCTTTTTCCATTTGGGGTGTATGTGTGTGTGTGTGTGGTGTGTGTGTGTGTGTGTGTGTGTGTGGCGTATTTGTGGGCACATGTGTATTTGGGCACACACACACACACACACACACACACACACACACACACAGACACAGGCCCAGGGTTGATGTCAGTGGAAGTCATATTTCCTTGCTTTTATACCTTATTCACTAAGGTGGGATCTCTCAACCAAACCCAAACCCTGCCCATACGGCTAGTCTTGCTAGATTGCTACGGGGGTCCTGTTTTTGCCTTCCAGGGCTGGAATTGTAGGTGAGCTGCCACACCCACCAGGCATGTACATGGGTTATGGAGATCTAAATCCTGCTCCTCGGGCAAGGGCTTTAACCTTTGAGTGCCACCTCAGTCCCCTTCCACAGTTCAAACAGCTCTGTGGTTGTCCCATTCTATACACAACCCAAACCTTCCTCCATTCTATACACAACCCAAACCTCCCTCCATTCTCCTCCATTCTCCATGCCCAGACTGGCAGCAGGCAGTCCAGAAACTTCTTCCTGAGCAAAATGTTCTGAATCAGAAATACCTCCCCATCTCCTTGTCCGTGTTGTTTATTTTCTCATCAGCTATGAAGAATATTGTTCTCTATGAGCTTCTTGCTCAGAGTTGCAGGAGGAGGCCACAGCTGTCCAGCTGGGCCGGCAAAGGTAAGCTTGTCACTTGGGCACGGCTACTAATTTGCCACAGCTTCTACAGAACTGTCACAGGCTTGACTTCCAACACCCACACATGCCTGGGGAAGGTTTGACTGTCAGAAAGTTTGGTAACTTAGAAACCTCTTCCTAACAACTTTGATGGGGAAAGTCATGTGTTCTCATAGGCGCTCTGCCGGGTTATTTTTAACAGTCAAACTTGCGTGTGTGCGTGAAGTTGCTATACCTTTTGGTACTCTATATAATTAGCCATGTTCAGGGGGTGACATATTCAAGACACCCTGGTCATAAGATAACATGACTGCAAGCTATCTCAAGAGAAAAAAAAACCTCCATTATGACTAATTTTCATAAGCCCACTCATGGTTATTTAGAGAGTAACACCTCCTTCAGGTAAAACCGTTCTATCCAACCTGCTTTTATAAATCACTGCCTCCTCCCCAACGAAGAGACCATCTGTTACATGGAGGGAACACCAGCTCCCACCCCCACCCAATACAAGGGCAGGATGCTGTGGGAAACAGGTGTTTGGAGAACTGCATCCAGCCAGCCTTCAGAGTCACACCCTGGGTCCCAAACTCTGTCTGTGCCCTCAGTCCCGGCTTCCAAGGCAGCATAATCCCTGCTTGGCTCATTTCACCACCTCTAGGTCTGGCAGACACTCAACCACAAAGTGATTTGACAAGATCTAGGCGTAGGCATCCATCGAGCTGCCAGCAGAAGAGGCAAGTGGCCTGTTTACTTAAACACAATAGCTAGGAGGCAGAGGCCCGCTAGGAAGCAGGAAACAAAACACTGGGCGCCATTTCCAAGACGTCGCCATTTCCAAGGGCAGGTGCCCATTCCTTAGGACTATCACCACATGAACAGGAAGGAAGGGGCATTGGCTAGAAAATAAAGCAAGATTCCTGTTGTTTTCCATTGGTGCCCACAAGCCACCAAGGGGTCAGACCACACTACTTCACAGCCCAAATCTAAACCTACAGGGAAAGCAGCAAAATATAACCACCTACAAACCATCTGCTGGCATATACCAGGACACATGCACGTGCATTGGTCTTTTAAAATTGTATATCAGTTACTACCACCCCGCCTGCCGCCGCCCCCTAGTCGCCAGCCTGGCTCCCAAAATTAAACTATGTAACATAGGAACCAACCCGGGGATGGAGAAAGCGAAGATTGACACCATTCCCAGAACTACTCCAAACCAGAGATTAGAATGCAGGAAACCACAAGTCACCAAGTGAGCTGAGCTTTGCGAAGGGAACTAGGGTTGACTCCAGGATAGAAGGGCGGGGGAGACGCTTCTATTATTTCCACGCTCGGTCAGGCCTAGAAGTTTAAAGTGCAGAAGGGGGTGGGGGTGTCAGGTTATGGCAGGAAGGGCTGGAGCATGAGGGCAGACTCTGGGAAAGCAAGGAGCTGTGGGAGGCTCCCTCCAGTTCCTGCCTCTGCACATGAGCGGGATTCCCTTTTCTCTCTCTGCATCTGCGTCCAGGGGCTGGCTTGTATATGCCCCTCCCAGAGGGTCTCTTGGCTGCTGCATACTCAGGCTCCAGCCAGGTTGACTCTGCCTCTGGGGAAGTCCTCTCAAAAGGCCTGGCTTTCTGTTTCTGGGGACCCACAGCGGGCCTCTCACCTCGCAGCTCAGCTCCATCCGCCTCCTGTGCCTGGCTGCGACCAGCTGGTAAACAGCCCTGTCTCCGTGGCAACCGCCGAGGGGTGGGGGGCCACGTGCTTCCGGTGGGACCGGAACCTGCCTGGCCTGGACAGGCCTGCGGCAGGCCAAGTTGGACAAGCCTGGGCACGGAGAGCCGAAGGCTTGCAGTCCCTGGTTCACGGATTCCAGACGACACAGGACCTTGGTGTGGCCCTGCCCCATGGAAACCACAGGGCCCTGGCCTGGGCCTCTGCCACCTTCTCTCCTCTCCTCTGGGGAGAGTGCGTTCGTGGGAAAGGGAACTGTGCCCTGGAGTAAGGGGTGGTGACTAGCATCAAATCCCTGTCTGTCCTTGATCTGGCCCTGTCAGTGTCCTCATTTTAAAACAGGGCTGTGGGACTCATTCCTGAAACCCTTGGTGTCAAAGTATCTTTTGGGGGGGAGGGATATATCATCATGGGGGAGTAAGAGACTTCCCACTCCCACTCTGGGGGATACTCTGAGTTTTGTGATCGCCACCCCCACCCCTGTCTCCTTTTTTATTATATATTTAAATTAGAAACAAGCTTGCTTCCCATGTCAGTCCCAGTTCCCTCTCTCCCTTCCACACCCACTCCCCCCACACCAGCTCCCCCAGCCCCCCACCCAATCCCCACTCTATTCCTCAGGGAGAGCCCAGGGCCTCCCCCAAGTGCCCAGATTAAGAGAGCATCCCTCATTGTGGGATGGGCACCCAAAGTCCATTTGTGTGCCAGGGATAAATACTGATCTACTACCCAAAGCCCCATAGATTGCCTAGGTCTCCTCACTGACACCCACATTCAGGGGGTCTGGATCAGTCCCATGCTGGCCTCTCAGCCATCAGTCTGGGGTCCAAGAACTCCCCCTTGTTCAGGTCAGCTGTTTCTTTGGGATTCACCAGCCCAGTCTTGACCCCTTTGCTCATCACTCCTCCCTATCTGTCATGGGTTCCATGAGTTCAGTTCAGTGTTTAGCTGTGGGTGTCTGCCTCTGCTTCTGTCTGTCACTGGATGGAGGTTCTGGGATAGTATGTAAGATTGACGTCAAAATCATTATTAGGAAGGGGCATTTAAAGTAGCCTCTCCACTACTGCTTAGTTTGCCAGTTGATGTCATCCTTGTAGATCTCTGGAGATCTCACTAGTGCCAGATCTCCCCTCAAACCTAGAATGACTCCCTCTATTATGGTATCTCTTGTCCTGCTCTCCTCTATTCTTCCCCCAACTCAACCTTCCTGCTCCCCCATGTCCTCCTCTCCCCTCCTCTTCTCCCCCTCTCTTTTTCCTGGCTCCCCCTCCCCCATGCTCCCAATCTGCTCAGGAGATCTTGTCTCATTCCACTTTCTCTGGGGTACCATGTATATCTCTCTTCCCCCTGTCTCCTTTAAGGGCCTACCTATACAGTCAGCAACTCCAGTCACTTAACCGTGTTTTTCCAACAGCCTTGAAATTTGGAGTCCTGCAGTCTGTCTGCTTTCTCTCCATCCTGCTCAGAAGCTATGGTCCACTGCCTCGGTCATTCTCTTGGTAAGATTCCTCCTTACCCTATTGCCATTCTGTCCCATCCGTGTGAGGGAGCCTTTGCTGCAGTATGTCCACTCACACCAAGCACTAAAGATATGCCTGGTCACTTGTGTGGTCTCCAACGTCAGTCAGACCCTCAGCCCTCCATGACCAGCCTTCTGTTTGTTCTCAGTTTCCTGCCCTCTCCCAATCTTGTCTTTTCCCACAAGCCTCCTCCTTTCCACCTTCCCTCCTCCCTTTGGAATGATGTTCTCCTGGCCTCTGCAGAGAAAAAAAGAAATCATTAACTACTGTCAGACCTGCAAGCCCCCTGCCTCTGCACCCATGCTTCCTTGCCTCTGGCCTGTTGGAAAGGGACTGACTTCTGACTCTGTCCCCTGTTAACTGCCTCTGCAGTGCTCCGATGGACCCTGGCCATAGCCACACATCCACTGGCTCGCCCTAGACGCAACAGCCTTGCTTCTGTTGAAGCCTTGGTTTGAAGATTCTTCCCCAGCCTGTCCTGGCCCATCATTTGCCCAATTCCTCCGTGTCTTTGTTCCAAGCAAATGAAGTCTTCCTTCCAAGTTGGCACTGAGATGACTTTAAAGGGAGTCCCAAGCAGACTCTGTTCGAGGCCTTTAGGATGATTTAGTGACTGAATTGGTAGAAGTTACTACTAGACAGTCAAGAACCACAGATTCATTGGCTAGCATTACAGCTACATATTTGCGACCTGCTTTGTCCTACATGTGTAAGGATGGGATTTTGATGTGAGCACAACCCTACACCCTTGTCAGCACATTTACAGATCAGAAAGAAACATTGTTCACTGATAGTTATAAATAATACTTGTTAGTTATTAATAATACTTGTACTTATAAATAATAATCAGTATAGTTTGAGCCAAGGGTAGGAGAGCAGATATGGGCTGGATGGGATTGCATGTGATGCGATTGGTACCAATGGCACACTTTTAGGTGCTGGCACGGAGGGGTTCATTTCAGTGATGGGCTGTTTGCCCATCTCAGAAAGGAAGGTGCTGACCTTGGTGGAGCACCTGGCCTTTGATGAGGGCCTGGGCTAAGCTGGCCTCCTTTCTGGGCATTCTGTCTCTGGATACCCAGGAGGCATCTGTGGCCCCAGGGAGGTACCGCCGGTACTTTTAGCATCTGGTTGTTTGGCATCGCGGTGTCACTGGCTTATATCTTGTTAATGATGCTTTTAGAAGTCTGGGCGATGCTCTTCAGCCCTTCAGCGCCCACTCGGAAGAGATTAAAGTAGATCCTTCAGCAGCTATTTTCACATCCCCTGTGAATTATGAAATCCTTTGAGATTTGCGTCGGTTTCAGTCCTTGCGAGAGTGGTGTGCGTGTGTCCTTGCTGGAGCGTGGTGAAATGCTCATTACACCTGTAGTCCATTTCATGCTCAGCAACATGAGTCTTTGTTCTCTGGCGGGATGTGGTGCAGCCCTGTGGGGAGGAGGCAGCCAGTTAGTCCCTCTCTTTATCTCCTGACCCTCACCAGAGGGTATCTTCAAAGAATATTCCCTCTGATGACTGGGTGAACATGCACACGCACCCACTAGATTCTCAGGAAATGACTGGAGGCCACTCTCCTGCTTACGCGAGGGCCCATCTTTTTTTGTATTGTACCTCCACTCCCCAGCTCTCCCCTGGGCTCTAGCCAGCTTGTCCCCAAATGGGCCCTTCGTGTTTTCATCTCCAGTGTTCTGGTTCATGTCTGTCCCACCTTCACCTCTTCAAAGTGAATCCAAACCGCTTGATTCTTAAAAGTCTATGAAGTCCTTTCCTGACTTTGTCTCCCAGTCCCCCAAAGCAGTGTTTCAGTTCCTTCTGGTCTGTGATCACATACCCAAGATGGTGTCATGCGCCATTCCCTGGTCAGTTCCTTGGATGTCTGTGAATCTCCTCCACCAAGGCACTATCAATTGGGCTTCTTTGCCTTAAAAAACGATTGAGTTCAAGGCCTTCTGCTAATGAGTAGTAGAGCAGTTTTGGGAACTTAACAACCAGCTGGTTCCAAAGCTCACTGTGTACCAACCCCATTCTTTTTCTCCCAAGGGCTTCATCCGGGCCTGCCTGCTACAATGGCCGTAGGACTTGTAGGCGTGGACTGTAGAGCCTAAGCCTCAGTTTCAATCCTTGCACCACCACTCATGGATATAACTTCTTCTCTAGACTTAGTTTGTGCATCTATAGAATGGACATTTCAAGACTCTAATTGCCTTGAGAGTGAATGGGGTAGTCCATTGAAGGTCTTGGCATGGTGCCTGGCATGTGAAGTATTCTATTCCCATCTTACCCAGACACTCTCCTTCAGTAGGTGGTAAGTTGTTCAAGGGCAGGAACTTGTTTGTCCCTCGATCCCACACACAGCCCACACAAAACCTGCTTGTCATAGATGCCCAGTAAAAGGGAAATTGGCGATGACCACGGGAACATTGACTCTACAGCTGGCTCTTCTAATGAAAGACTCACAAGCCATCAGTTGTCACCCCAAGGCTAACTAACTTGGAATGTAAGTGACATTCCTTGGAGCTGGCATAAGGTGGGTGGTCCAGTTCTTTTTTTTTTTTCAGCTTGTTCCCAGAGTCTGTAGACCCATTTTGAACTAGAGTCTTTGCATGTTTTTCTCTGTTGACTTTCATCCTGATAGGCCCATAGATTGTGAGCACAGGTAGCATTTAAGAAAGTACATAATCTGGTAACAAGGCCAAAAGGTTTCGTGGTTCTGCACAGCTCCATAGAAATCAGCTTCCAGAGACCGTCGACAGAGAAGTTTCTGGATAATAAAATGGAGCCCCCAAAGGAATGCAGTGTTTCATTGCTTCCTGCATCTTGTTGGAACATTTCCGAGCATGCATCAATGCTTCCTGTCTTGTTAAGCAGAATATATCCAACTGTCACTCACCTTGGCCCCATGGTGACCAAGTGCTTTCACACCAGGAGCATCTAGAATCTTGCTGGCGCCACAGAAGGCAAAGGTCATTGGCCCCACTTCACAGACAGGAAGCTTGGGTTCCAGGAGCTTACATCCACTGACAGGAAATACTGGGGCAGCTCCAACTCTCTTTGGCATAGACTCAGAGATCACCATTGCACACTTATGCAATGCCAATGTCAGCCGCTGTGCTTGGGTGCAACACTGTTGATGGGAGTCAAGGCCCATATGGGGCTTTTGGTCTAGGCCTGGTCTCTGTTTATCTGTAGTCAGCTCGGCAGCCTCCTTTGGACCTTTCTTGGATCTTCTCATTAGCCGAGTACACAGTTGATCCTTCAGTTGGATTTCATTACCAGGCACTCACCCCAGGTCCCTTTGTATCTGAAGTCTCATCACCTGCTGCTTCAAAAGATGTGAGTCCTTTCTTTGTAGCTCCAACCTGGACATGGTGTTTCAGGTTCCCATGGAGATAGAACCTAATTAGAAAAACTTGTACAGCTGTTGAAATGATGATTGGCCAGGTCCAGCCTGATCAGGTCCCAGCCTCTCAGCATCCACCAGAGTTATACCAAAGAAGGTCACGCTGGCTGGTTGACTAGACAGAGGCTCTTGCCTTGCTCTTGCTGTAGGACTGACGTTTTGAAGTCTTCCTGGGAAAGTACACCACTGGGTGAAAACCTATCTGAGGCTTTGGATCTACCAAATTCTCAAAGCTCTGCTGAGCTATTGTTTCCTCTCCAAGACCCATCACTGTCAGATGTAGCCTGATGACTCATGGGGCTGGTGGAGAACTCTTGGACTGAGAGGGGACATGTCCATGGAGGGACAGGCACCCACACACATTCTCCTCCACCGCCCCATGGGAGGTGCCCCTTACAGGCTTTGCCACTCTTTACAGTTCCAATGTGAGTGCCACATCTATGTGTAATTTTGGGTTTAGTACTGAATATCTTTGTCATTTTCATTATTCCACCTGGTCCTCACCACAAAGTCCTTTCAAGTAGACACCAATAGGACTGAAAGGAATTTATTTCTTGCTTCTGTTACACTCTCTCTAGTTAACCAGCCAGCAAGTTATTCATCTATGCATCTTTTTCTTGAGACAGGTTCACATAGATTCCAGGCTGTCTTCAAACTTGCTATATAGCCGGGGATGGCCTTGAACTTCTGATCTTCTATGTCTGTCTCCTGGGTGCTGGGATTATAGGCATAGGCCACCATGACTGGACGGAACCCAGGACTTTGTGGTGCTGGGCAAGCATCCCAGCAGCTGAGTCACATCCCCAGCCCTATCCCATCTCTTAAGTGGAGGTAGAAACTCTGAAGCTGACACAAGGGACTCATGACATAATAACTGTGACACTGTCAAGGTTTGACATTATTCACAGAAGTTTGGGTTTCATGTGCCAGCAGGAGGAACAAAGCTCTAGAGGGGATGAGTTTGCAACTGTGGTACCAGGGATCAAAAGAGAAACACTGCAGATGGCAGGGATGCTGATAAATTTGGCTTTCTGGACCACATTCCCATGATGGACACCATATATGCCATTTAAACCTGGGAACACAGACTGCTGCCTCCTCCAAAGATTAAAAAAAAAAAACAGCCAGAGCGATAGTGTTGCCAGAGAAAGAAAGACACCATCAGCATTCACCATTTTCAAACAGTGGAGCCATTGTTTTGCTTTACATCTGGGTCAAAGTGCCAGGATGTGTGTCACATTCAAACATAGTTAGTTCTGGCAAAGATCTCCCAGAGCCCTGTGCTGAGGGCATCCAAAGGCCTGGCCTGTATTGGTGGTTTGCACCCAAATGACCTCTTCCTTTTCTTCCTCCAAAGGAGCTGAACTGGCAAATGAAGGTGGAAGCCTGGCACCCTGGACCTCCTGATCTCTTCAGGAATGAAGGCCATTGCTATATTCATTGTCTTCATCTTCTGCTGTAAGTATAAGCCATCTGAAAGAGTGCCGAGAGGCTGTCTTTCTGACTGTTCACAGGGGTGGCCTCTTCTGGGAGCATTGAGTGAAGGGAGGGTAGAAGGCACTCGGGAGAGAACCAGGCTCCCTCCAAAGTTCTCCTACCTCTGGTGAGCTGGTCACAGTGTTGGGCCCTCACAGAGCATCTCAGAATCCAGGGACATTGACCACCTATTGGAAAAATGATGTTTGGCTGTGGTGACAGCACCCATGGTCTGGAAGGCTTTCTTCTTTCCCATTCTGGGTGCCTCTGTTTAAAGCTTGTGTACTGCCGGACACAATGGTAGGCGTGTCCGGCCAGCTGGGGTAATTCTTCATCCTAATGATGTCTAGTGGACCACTTGGTCAAACTGAGCTATGCAATCTGAAGGACTTCCTGGGAACGGTCTGGGGTCTGTTAAACAAAACAAACAACTCGGTCTTTTCTGAGTGTCTGGGGCAGCTGTTTGTCCAACATCAGTTTCTTGCTGCCTTCAGCCGTGCTGCAGTGACTCTGAGGTTCTGTAAGTGAGGCATATCAAAATTAGGGCCCCTCCTTTCCCCAAGTTGCTGGTGAGCTTTGCAGTTTTCAAAACCATGCCAAATGTGTAATCTCCACACTTGGGAAGTGGAGGCAGGAGGATTGAGAAATCAGGTCAAGGCATCTTAACTTGGCACTGGGGGAGGGAGCTTGAGAAAACCTCCCTGTCACTCACTGTTTTCCTTCCTTGAGTTCATGCTTTTGCTGTATTTATATCACAAACCAAATATATGCTTATAATTTAAAAAAATCAAATGCAGGGTCGGGAGCATAGCTCAACTGGTAGAGTACTTGCCAAACATACGCAAAAACCTGGGTTCGATCCCCAGCACTGAATAAAGCCAGGCAGGATGTGGAGGCAGAGAGGTGAAAGTTCAAGGTCATCCTTGACCTCATAGGAGTTTGAGGCCAGCTTGGGCCACATACGTTTTTGCATCACTAAACAAAACTATAAAATATAGTAGCAAAGGTTCAGCCTTCTCAGGGACTAGTGCTTTTCTACATCTGGATACAACTCCTCTGGAGACTGTGGAGCACATTTCTCTAAGCTTACACACACACACACACACACACACACACTCAAAATATTATAACAAAACAATACATGTGTCTTAATCACTGTTCTATTGCTGTAAAGAGACACCATACCAAAGGCAACTCTTAAAAAGAGAAGCATTTAACTGGGGGCTTATTTACAGTTTCAGAGGCTCAGTCCATTATCATCATGGCAAGGAACATTGCAGCAGACAGGCAAGCAAGCTGCTGCAGAAACAGCTGAGAGCTACATCCTGATCTGGAGAGAGGGGGAGGAAGGGGTTAGGGAGGGAGAGAGAGGGGGAGGGAAAGACAGATGATGCCTGGTATGGTCTTTTGAAGCTTTGAAGCTCACCCCCCAGTGGCACAATCCCTCCAACAAGGACACACCTTCTAACCCTTTCCTAACAGTCCCATGCCTCGGGACCATGCATTCAAATATATGAACCTATGGTGCCATTCTTACTCAAACACCACGGTGTGTTTGGAAAAGAGGTACATGAGGCATGTTTGGAAAAGAGGTACATGAGGCATGTTTGGAAAAGAGGTACATGAGGCATGTTTGGAAAAGAGGTACATGAGGCATGTTTGGAAAAGAGGTACATGAGGCATGTTTGGAAAAGAGGTACATGAGGCATGCTAGATGAATGTGTCCTGGCTCTCTCCTCCTCTGCTTCAGTCTCTCTTCCTGGAGTTGGCTACTAAAAGTGAGGCATTCCTAAGACAAGTGCTTCGATGACCGTCCTATCTGTGGGTTGACATGGGACACTTTGCAGTACTCTGATGTTACAAACAAGCACCCTTGTGTATGCATCTCTCTGTGTGTCTGCAAGCATTTTGTAGAGTACAAAAGCCTACTGATTTCCAGCACCTCAAAGGCAGAGAGGGAGTATCTTCCCCAGGTCCAAGGTCAGCCTGGTCTCTAAGGGCCTTCCAGGAAGACCCTGTCTATTAAAAATAGTAAGAATTTATGGGTCTGTATATGTGTGCCATTTTACAGACTGGGTCAGGGGTGCTATTCTGATTTCTTATCCCTGGATTTTGCTTCTCCTGGGAGACTACAAATGCCTGATACTGCCTGGAGGAGGGGCTGGCTACAACCTCTGGTCTTGAACTTTCCCAGTTAATTAATGTTGATCAGATCTGAATGGTGGTGGAACACCCCTGTCAGTTGGGGAGCCTGGTGATGGAGTAACTCTGATCCTGTTTTCTTTCCTGTGAAGGTGACTGACACCTGTACAAGGGCCCAGGCCTGCCCAGCTCATTGCAAGCCTCTAGCGAGGAGGCCTGTGGGCCTTCAGGCTCCTCTCCTTTATTGTTTTCTCCTTGGCAGGGACAACCTCCACCCTCAGCAGCTTCTGGCAGTTCCAGAGGATGGTCAAACACATTACAGGGCGCAGCGCCTTCTTCTCCTATTACGGATACGGCTGCTACTGTGGGCTTGGGGGCAGAGGGACCCCTGTGGATGCCACAGACAGGTGATGCATAAGTTCTGGGCAGCCCCTTATCGAATTTGCACTGAAGTCCAGGCTTACAGCCAGGAGGGAGGGGCTGGGGATCCAGAAGAAACAATCCCAAGGCAGCATGAGACTGAAAGGGGGTTGCAGGGTGAGGAAGCCAGATCTACGAAGCTGCCCAGGGCCCTGTGTGCCTAAGGTCCTGGGTATGGCTTGTGTGCTGACCATCTTGAGATGGGGCCTTAGTTCCTAACTCATGCTAGCCTCTAACTTACTACATAGTCTAGGTTGGACTTGAGCTCTGGAGCTTCCTGCCTCAGCCTCCCAGGTGTTCAGATTCTAGGCATGTGCCACCATGGGCCACTCAAACCCAGGTCCCCATCCTGGATGGATCATTGCACCACTGAGATACACCTCAGGCCCATCCTGACATTCTCAATCAAGGGCCCTAACGTTACACAGTTGGTCCACCCGAGATCTGGAAGCCTTTCCCATTCAACTGGCAATGGTATTCTTTGCTCCCATGCTCCGTTTTTAGGCTTATGGGTCCAGCAAGACTGCCCTGCCAGCTCCCAGACCTAATTCCATAGTTTAGGAGAGAAGCCAAGTGGCCCAGTTCGGAAAAGTTGTCCATCTGGAGGCAGTCACACGGTACCAAGTTGGTTTCCAGGACAGCTCTAAGGATTTGTGGGTGGGTGGTGTTGGCTTCCATAAAAAAAAAGGACGATACTGTAATCTGGAGAGGGCCCAGTGGGGAAATTGGATAGTGTGTGTCTTTTCCCATTTGAAGAAACAGGAAGGAAATGTCCCTTGGCATGTCCTTACAGCAGGGTGTGATATATAAGCCCCAGGCTTGGCTGTGGAGTCATGGAAGGCCACTTGCACGTGTAAGATGTACATTACGTACTCAACACTGAACAGGTGATCTACATGTGGGCCTCAGCCCTCACACAGGTGACCTGCACATGTCCTCACACAGGTGACCTGCACGTGTCCTCAGCCTCACACAGGTGACCTGCACGTGTCCTCACACAGGTGACCTGCACGTGTCCTCACACAGGTGACCTGCACGTGTCCTCACACAGGTGACCTGCACATGTCCTCACACAGGTGACCTGCACGTGTCCTCAGCCCTCACACAGGTGACCTGCACGTGTCCTCACACAGGTGACCTGCATGTGTCCTCACACAGGTGACCTGTACATGTCCTCTGCCCTTACAGTGACTATAGGAAGAGCATCCTCACTATAACCCACCTTACAGATGAGGACAGAGAGGATCCCAGACTAAGAGTTACTCAACCACCACCCCCAAGCAAAGCAGCAGAGGCTGGCCTGGAACACAGATCAGCCATTTCTAAGTCTACCTCCTATCGTTGCCCACCTGGGCCTTGCCTGCTGGAGTCCTGAGGTAGATTCAAAACCGCACACCATTAGCCCAGGGCCGCAATGGGTCAAGAGCCCATTTACACGTGGGAACGTTCAGAAAAGGACAGGTGTATCAGCGCTCACCTCCCCAGCTCCAGGGCCTGCAGGCCCAGGGAAGCTGGAAGTCCCTACCAGCTCTCAGCCAGTGTCCCCTCGCTGACTCCCCAGGGACACCGCCACACAGGCACAGTCCCTTACCTACCTCTCCCCACCACCAGATGCTGCTTGGATCATGACTGCTGCTACCTCAAGCTGAAGGAGCACGGCTGTCAGCCCATCTTGAATGGCTACCAGTTCAGCATTGTCAACGGGACTGTGGCCTGTGAGTACCTTCCACACAGGGAGACCATGTGACCTGGGCTAGTCCTTAACAGTCACCTCCTCACCAGCCCACTGACCGTTTCAGGCAGTGAGACTTCTCCCAGGGCTTTGAGACTGAGACAGGGGGTGACTTTGAGAGTGACAGCTTCTTGGAGAGAGCCCTTGCTTGGTTTCGCCTGGTCTTTTCTGCCTGCCACTGAATCTCAGCTCCCACCAGGAAGCCAGACCAGAGCCCACCCTACATTATGGGCCAGTAAAGAGTTGTTGACCGTGGAATCCATTGACTTTGCATTTTCCCTAGGCAGCTCTGGCTGTTGAGAACATTCCTCCCACCACCACCATCTTCAGGCATGTGTGGTATGCATGTACGCATATTTTTGTATGTGTGTAGGTACGCTTGTAGGTGGGCACACGCAGGTGGAGACTTGAGGCTGATGTCAGGGATTGTCCTCTGTCACTTCTCTATCTCATTTATTGAGGCAAAGTGTCTCGGCCAGACCCTCAGCTGTCTGATGTGGTTAACTTACTGCAGGTATCCTGTCTCTCTCTGCTCCCGGAGGCTGGGATTGTAGGCAGGCTACCAGACCTGCCCAGCATTTGGTTTGTGGGTATCTGAACTCTGGTCCTCCCAAGTGCTTTAATGACTGAATTATCACTCCAGCCCCGGCAACCTTTTTGTTTGTTTGTTTGTGTCATCTCGTGTTTACAAGGCATTTGGCTGTCTTGCACTTGAACAGATATTTCCTAAGGGCAACTGCATGTTGTGCACTGTGACCAATGTGGATAGTGACAGAAAAGTAACCAGGAGTGGGAGCCTGCACAGGAGGGAGGAGGGAGTCGCAGAGGGCCCACTCAAAAGGAGTATGTCCTGGAGCTGAGGGTGTGGGCATGCGAAGGCAGGTCTTGCCTGAAGAATCGAAGGCTGTGGGCACGAGTTTTTGTCCAGCCTTGTAATTCCAGTCCAGTAGGTGGTTTCTTGCTCCTCATATGCCAAAGGTCAACTCCTGCCAGGCCTTAGGGCATAGTGAGCTGCTTCCTCTTGAGTATATTCACAGCTGTGTTTCTGGGCTTCCTCCAAGGCCAGACAACTAACTACCAGTTGCCCCCTGACTCATCATCTCCTAGGATAGAGGACTTAACGACTCCACACTGGGGGTCATAGTACCATAGCACCCCACCTGGAGCTGTAGCACAGCACACAGGAAGCCCCAGAGTCAGGACTGTGTTTTCTCCCTGGCATCCACTGTGAGGTTGGAAGTGTGGCAGGCTGGGGCCTCAGACCCCCAGAACAGAAGAGTGCCTTCAGTTCAGTCTGCCTAATACACAGCCCTGCACAGCTGGCAGAGGGGCCTAGTACATAAAGAGAACCTTTGCCACTGAGGCCTAGATCAACCCTCTGTCCTTCCTCCACTCACTGGCTGCTCAGGAGAGTGAGGATAGGACCTGGGAACTGAACCCCCAGCCCAGAGCTCCAGGAGATGGAAAGAGTGAAGGAAGGTATCTGGAGACAGGCTAAGGCCACAGAAGACAACATATCCTCTGATCAGCACTGGTTAGCTGGTGGCAGGAGACAGAGGCAGGACCCGGAAGCTCCTGTCCATGCTTGAACTTCCCCACATGCGGCTCTGGAGAGTGAGGGAACTTCCAAGTTCATGTCACCCTCCAAGGAGCCTAGAACTCTATGGCCTGGACTTTGATGTGGAGCCTGCACTGCCAAGACACAAACACACCTAATGATGATAATCAATGCTATAGGGAATACAATATATTTATTTACCAGAGAGAGAGAGAGAGAGAGAGAAAATCACACAAGCTGGGAGTCAGAAGGGTGGCCGGCTTCCAAAAGAGAGAAGGTCCTTTTTCCTTTCGCTTCCTTTTATCTCTACCTGTGCTAATTTACTTGTCCCCGCCCTCATGGGCGGATAGCTTTGTGGGGTTCACTCCTACACACACCCACCCATGTACCTTTTGTTGATGAGCACCTACAGCCACTGTGGCCCCAAAGCCAGTCGGAGGGTGAGGCAGGCCCAGCTCCTGCTTGCCTAAGGTCAGTAGCTTAGGAGGGCTCTGGAGCAGAAAACACCTTGACGGCCATCCCAGCTAACCTCTCACTGATACTCTGGGAAGGCTGAGGCCCACAGAGGGGAGGGGGCTTGATCCAGGTGAGTGACAGGCAAGACTGGGACTTGCATGCTGAGGCTTTCCAGAAAATTCACTCTGGAACTTCCTGCCTGGCTTGAGCTGTCTGAGCTTCGGTCTTCTCAGCCTTGAAGTGAGAGCGGCAGCTACCACAGTGTAAAGTTAATGATAGCTGCTTTGCAACACCTCATCTTGGCTTGCCAGGATAGACCTCAGAGGCAGGCACTTTTCTCCCATTATCGCATAGGATGTCAAGGCTCAGAGAAGTTAAGTGGGATGTCCAAAGTCACACAGCCAGGGAAAGGATGAAGGTTTGGGCCCAGGTGGTTCTGCCTCCCCTCCCCTGCCTAACAGGAAGGCATCTTGATGGATGGGTTATTCTCCAAATGCAAGTCTCATGGCCTCTAACAACTGATGAAATAGATGTTCTATCTTGGCTGGAGGAGCACAGTGAACGGACCTTGGTCTAACCAAATACCCCAGATCTCTTCATTTGTTCCTGTTAAGGGCCTCGGATTTCCAATCCAGCCTCATTGTCCCAACCAAGTCTTACTTTCCTCATTTGCAGAAATGGTGAAATCACACACACTACAAAGGTTTCTGGATGATGGACAAGAGTGACCCCTCTTGTCACAGGAGGGGCTGGTCCCACTGTAATGTTCAGTTACTGCCTGCCATTTGGATGGATGTGGGAGTTTCTGGTTTGGTCTGTACACCATGTACATGCAGTACCAGCAGAAGCCAGAAGAAGGCGTCAAATGCCCTGAAACTGGAGTTAGAGACAGTTGAATTGAATCTAGTTCTGGAAGAGCACCAGGTACTCATAACCACCAAGACATCTCTCCAGCTCACCCTCCCGTGTCATCTAATTATAGTTCCTTTGAAGTCCGCCCTGTATTGCCCCCTCTGGGGCTAACACAGTCATTACCTTGTTGTGGAATTAAACCTCTTCTGTGCCCAGGCCACACTGCAGTTCAAACAGCCCCACTGAAAGAATTAATGTCTCTACAGTTCTGAAATCCCATCCCCCAGGCTGGTCCCAGGCTGCCTAGCAACCAGTGTGGGGAGGGCTTTGGGGAGGGTGTGGTAGGTTAGTGGGGGGGGTGGGGCCAGGGTGAAGGGGAGGGGCTTGGTGTGCACAGCTTGAAGTGCCACCCAGATGTCAGTACAGAGCAGAGTCTTTGAAGGAGCTCACGGGTCAGTTTTCATGAAGGGACTGCTGCCCTGGCAAGGCTGACCAGGTGGCTGCTCCTCCTTTAAGGAGGTTTACATAAGCACTTGGCACTCAACAAGGGACTTGAAGACCAGTGCGGTGACACCCCCTTCCACTCATGCATGCGTCTGCATGTGTAGGGTGAAGCCTGGCTGTGTGGGAGAGAGCTGGTCCTAGCCACCTGTACCTCTGCCACCTGTGTCTGCAGCCTCTGACTCCTCCCTTCCCCTGGAGAGGGGGGAGGCAGAAGTGATAACTCCTGGAAGTTTGGTTTGCAAAGGAAGTCCTTTCTCATTACCGGTGCATTCCTCCCAACAGCCTCTGCATGGTCCATCCCCTTTTCCTCTCCTGCATTCATGGCACCCTGACATTTCCTGTACCTTCTTTGAATACTTGTGCAGGGGCCCCCACCTCCCAGCTGGAGTGTACTTTCCCAGCCCTGAGAGCTGTGAGTGTGCTCACTACTTTACCAGTGGACTTCTCAAAATACCCGATGTCACCGACGTAAAGGAAGAAAGGTTAACTAGACTCCCGGTTCCTGGGAGTTCAGCCATTATTGGCCCCAGGCCTCTAAACAGATGTGGTGGTACAGCAGTGTGCTGTGTGGCGGAGGAGTTTACCCTCATGACAGACAGACAACAGGAGACAGAGCACAGGCCACAGCCCCCAAAGACTCGCTAACAGTGACCTCTTTCCCTCAGTTGGAACCCCCCCCCCAGCTAAGGTTTCCAACACTTTTCACAGTGGCACTGCCAGCCAGGGACCCGAACCTTCAACATGCAGGCATTTCAGACTCCGTTCATAACACTGTGCCTTTGCCCCAAAGCCTCATGGCCATCTTACGTGGCAAAATGAGTTTAGTTAATCTCCAAGGTTCCTCAAGCTCCTCTTCTGTACTACTCGGGGTTACCCATTGGTCTGACCCGAGAGAACAATTTAGAAGCCAGCAAGGATTGGTTTTGGCTCACGGTTTCACCAATAAGAATCCATTGTCCTTGTCTCTGCCGTTTGTGGGCCAGTGAAGTGGATCGCTATGGTGATGAGGAAATGTGGTAGAGACCGCTCATCTTAGGGAAAACAGGGCGCCATAAAGAAAGGCCAGGACCAAATGCAGCCTTCAAACCCCTCCTCCAGTGACCTACATCCTCAGGTTTCTACTGCTTCCCCCAAAGAGTGCCACCTTCTGGGGACCAAGTCTTTAATGCATGAGTCTGTGGGGGATAGCTCATATTCAAACACAACCAGGGTAAGCCTGTCTTGTTCTGGGGCTCATTCTCAGCGTCCATATGAAATAGTACTCTTGGGACTGTGCAGTCTGGAGGTGTGCGTGTACATGTCTCCACCCCCAGTTTCTAGACAAAGGTAAGTCATGTGCTAGAAAAGTTTAATAGCTATATAAGGGGTGGATGAGTGAAAAACATCTCAATAAATAGGAGATTTGGTCATATTTATCTCATTTAAAAGCTGAAGAACAGGCTTTGAGAGGGGAAGCAACTTGCCTAAGATCATAAAGTGTATGAGTTACAGACTTGGATCTAGAACTTGGCTTCCAGGGTCCCAGGATGGGCACCTTTCTGTAGCCCACAGGCCACATAAGTGCAGTCGCTAAAGGCTCCAGCGAGTGGCAATGGAGCTTTGCCCAACTCTAG